TTTTTTTTTTTTTTTTTGCAGATTCGTAGAAAGCAAAGGAAATTTACATTTCAAAGTAGCTAAGGCCATTCACTACTGTAACGTAATTAGATGTTTTACAACATTATGGAAGAAATGATAAAAGACAAAAGACAATCGTCACTTCAAAATTTAAAAAGTAACAAAGATTTATGAAGCTTATTTAGGAAAAATTAAAATTTTGTTGCAGTTAAACATTTCGCTAACGTCGTTAAAATGGAAGATAAAATGAAACTACCTAGTACTCAATTTTTAGAAAGAATAAAAAAAAAGTAAAAATAATGAGAGCTTTTACGTTTACTGAAGTGAGCGTCAGCAAATCCGAATTGTATGTAAGAATCTATGATCTGTTCAAGTGTCGCACGTTACATGAAGACAAAAGAAAAAAACTAGTAGAAAAAGTGATGATAGTTTCACATTATGCTTGTTTCGACATTAAAATATAAAACGATAACGCTGTATTACCACCTGCCAAGTGGTACTGAAACTTCCTTCAAGAATTGACCCTTTTTAAAGTTCACAAAGATTGCTCTTTAAAAACATCGTTTTACCATTGAAAATCAATTTTTTTCGCTGCTCGGCACAAAAAGTTTTAGGAAACTGACAATATTGAAACTGATAAGTGTATCATGATAAGGTGTCTAAAAAAATTTGTCAAAAATTTGGGAGCAGTGAAAATATACTAGCACTAAAAAATAAAATTTATTTAGTGCCAATACATTTTGAAAAGAAGAACATATTATTCAATGAATATTTGAACTCTTTTAATTTCTTTTTCATTTCCATTGCCTCTATTGTAATGCTGGAAATTATTTTAGGTGCAAAAATTTGTAAAACTTATATGTCTCGTTGCATTTCTGAACATTTATAAAATATGTTTATTTTTATAATTTTATAAGAAGTCTGTAGTAAGAGATTACACTTTTAATTATCTAAACACTCAGAATTTAGTTACAATTCGAAATTTTTATACAAAATACAGAATTCTGTAGATGCGCAGCTGTTCATCCGAAATATGCAGGTCAGCCTCAAAACAATTCCACCAAATTTGAAGACCCCTCCGTAACCAAACTTAACACTTGCAGCTCCTTAGAAAAATTTTAAATGAAATAATCATTTTTTCAACATGCCGTAGTCTGTACTTCAAAGAAAGCAAAAAAGTAAGTTTTTAAAAGATGAAAGATAATGAAGGAATTTTTCAAAATAATATCCGAAGTATGGAAGATACACGAAGCCGACTACTCAATGAAAGCTATAACTTCAGATTTTACCACATATTCTTATCACAACTGTAAGATTGTTGTCAAACGAAAGTTGTACCCACACACTTTTTTCCTATTTCTACCGATCAAATTTTAGGCAGTTCACAGCAACTGTTATCATCTCAGAATTTTATCTTCCGTTATACGCTTTCCTCCCTAAATTCACCTCCTTTTCTTCCTTCATTTTTTCTTTTTAAATTCCATGATTTCTTTCACCAAACGCATAAGCAAATGAAAACAGTAATGATAGTAGTCATTCCCTTCCTATTACCCGCAACACCAACGCAAGTACAGCTAATACCGCAACCATCAAACGGATTTTAACGCTTAAGTCCTTCGACGGTATGACTGTGACGCCTTTCTCATATGCCTCAACTTTTAACAATTTAACATGATTCGGACATCTAGCGGATTTAATTACTGTAAACCATTTCCTCACTTACAGTTATTGAATTATCTGAAGAAGTTGTTTAATATGTGAATGTTACGACTTTCCTCGGACCTAGAACTGTTTCGCATTTTCCACATTAATTTTTGACTCCCTACCACGTGAAGAAAAAACCCCTCTACTGGCTTTAATAAACGGAGGCAAGCACATCTATTAATGTCTGTCTTTCCTATTTCATAGTTAACTAACTCTTACCCATAGAAAAGAGAATTTGGACAAAAGGCAGTAAGCAACTGACTACAATGTAAAGTTTTTTTCATGCTTCGGTTCCTTTATTTTGAGTGTTTACCTGCTCTAATGTAAATGTCAATTTTACTTTTTACACTACTTTCTTGTGACACTTTCAAATGCCATATAAATTCCCCAAAGTACTTTTCAATTACTATTTCAAAATAGATGAACAAAAGCTGATACCTTTGAATACCTGCATTAAGACGCTCTAATTTATATGAGTTAGCGGTGTCGTAAAACTAACTTTTATTGTGACCGGAACACCTGTAGACCTCAGCAACCTAAAGCACTTAGAAAAAAGAATTTCTGTAAAATTCTCGAGTAGTTACAAAAATTACTCAGTGACAAACAAATAATGTAATCACTAAAAGAGGTTGTACTATACATCCTCCAAGCAGCTAGTCTGGCTTTTTTGCCGATGGACGTTACTGCACAGAAAACAGTGGGCAGTAAACGAGTTGTAAAGGTAAAACTTACCGAAAACCAAGAAATATTCTTCCGATGTACTTCATCTCAGGTGAGTATGCTTCCCCTGTCGACTTTGTGGAGCCTAAGATCTTTTCTCAGCGGTGGCATCTTTTGGGTGGAAAAAAATTTCGTTGCGGGAATCAGTGA